AAAAAAAAAAACTTAGAAGGTGAGATGGTTTAAACCAGGTGCAAATTGGAATTGCTAAATGAGCAATTAATATGGCTTAGAAGTCTAAATGCTGAACCCCTTTCCTATCTGGATTACTTACCAACATTGTTTGCCATCGACTTGATGATATTTTTCAATCCTTGTAATGTTTCTTACCCCAGTACTTTTAAAATGCAGTCTCATCTCTGCTGGCTACTATGACTAAAACCTTTTTTTCTGTCTCGTTTTTAGGGAAATCTTCTCTTGGAATGGCACTCTTTCGTCTGGTTGAACTGTCTGGAGGGTGCATTAAAATTGATGGAGTGAAAATAAATGACATTGGTTTAGCAGATCTTCGCAGCAAACTCTCAATAATTCCTCAGGAACCTGTGCTGTTCAGTGGTACTGTGAGGTTAGTGAGATCATAAAATAACACAAAGGACAAAGACGGCTATCAGCTCATACTGAATTCAAATAGTTGCCTGGTGAGATGTGTTAGTCTGGGCATAGAATCTGGGTATTCAAGGGCTGTCTGCATCTCTTCTCCATTTTTGACACAAAAAAATAAAGCAGGTATATGGTTTAGTTGGCCCAAGGCAGAACTGGGTGTGATATTCCTCTAAGGAACCTTTGCCTTTCCTTTAAGCTTGCTTGATATTTTTGCATCTATGCTATTACATTTCTCTGTTGTTTGCCTGCTTTAATCCTACTGTACTGGGAGAGCTGATTTCCTTGACAAGGAAATTCTGTTGGGGAGGACTAGATATGAGCTATCCACATGGGCACACAGACGCTGCAGTTCCGTTATTCATTGCTGAAGCAGTTCAAATTCTGGTTATGCTTTCTTCTTTCCCCTCTAGGTCAAACTTAGATCCTTTCAATCAATATAGTGAGGAACAAATCTGGGATGCTTTGGAAAGGACTCACATGAAGGAGTGTGTAAGTATGATGGGTCCTGTGAGACAAGTTTGTTTTGGCTTTCAAACATATATTTTCCATTGATAGCTGCTTTCAGGGACATTCAGATAAAGTTATTTGTGCTTTTTTTTTTCTCTAACTGGTTATGCTTAATTTTCTAATAATGCAATTGTGAACTTTTTGGAGAAAGTACTGTATTTTGGATGTTTACTTTAGTATCTAGTGCAGCAGGGTGTTGCTTTATCACAGGGACTCCTAAGGAGTGATGTTTTTCTGGATGTGTAGGTAGTCAGACACCTGCAACTATTTGTCTCATGCTGTGGAGATCCAGCAAACCCACGCAATACTCTAAGTTTCTCCCCTCTGCTTTTCACACAGGTTGCCCAGCTGCACATGAAACTTGAATCAGAAGTGATGGAAAATGGGGAAAACTTTTCAGTCGGGGAGAGACAGTTACTGTGCATAGCTAGAGCTCTGCTGCGTCGCTGCAAGGTGAGTGTATGGATGGAAGAAGTAGCTGGTGATATCAGATGAACAGCACTGAGCAAAGCCTGTTTTCTGTGCTGAATTCATTTCATCAGAGGAATCACACCAACAGCACAGCTAAGAGAAGAGTGTTGGGTTTAGAAGAAGTAGGAAGGTGTTGGTAGCCATCTACCAGGTGCTGCAATGTCCTGCTGTCAGAAATGCATTGCTTGTTAGTGTTCATAATTGTGTGTCAGACAGGCCTAGTGATTTAGCTGTAGTGTTTGTCCTGATACAGATGAC